TTGAGCACGTCTCTCAGCTGGAGGCCACCTTCCGGGCACAACACAAGGATGCACACCTGCTTTGAAACAAGAGGAATCACAAGAAGAATTGGCTACGTGCAAAAGCAAAGCGGGAGGCAGGCAACGGGGCCATGGATGAGGAGGTTGAAAACAAGGCAGGTGTTGTCCCTAAAACCAAGATGGGACCATTGGCAGGTTGGCCCCTTGGACATTGTCCATCCCAACTCCACAATGTCAGCAAAATGTCCAGCGCTTGGTGATGGCACCAACACGGTAGCTCTCAAGTGTGCTTGCTGTGTACTACATCCTCCTATTGCAAGTTTCTCAGAGGTTGCCCAGTCATTTGGACCAGGCTACCATCCTTGTCCTGATTGGTCTTGTTGCTCACATATTACAGATGAGAACATGACCTTATAATACCATCACTCTCTATGTACCTACCAAATATTCTAATCACTACAATTGCTGCCAATAGAACCTACTCACAACAATGCTCCTCTGTGGTCTCTTGTCCGGTATCACGGATGTCAGGATGGTGTCCAGTGTATCTGCTATCATTCCAAGGAAGGCGTAAAACAGCCATTTTTGTGTTCCTTCAGGTGTGTCCATTGAAGTGAATGTGTTGGATACTTGGAGACTTGGAGTGTGACAATGAGTGGGGATGACCATAGCCTTACACCTGTTACTGTTGCGATAGTGGGAGCCTTCCAAAGTTGCAGATTTTCCAACTCCGCTTGATTGCCGTGGGTCGGCGCCTCACGCAAGAACATGTTGTGCGTTCCATTCATTTGTCCTCTTATCTCACTCACACTTGCTTCACCTCGGTGCTTGTTCATCATCTCCATGCAAGCTGCAACCTGACAATCTCATGTCTCTTCCGTCTGGAGGAGGCCTGAGCACTCCAGAAGGGTTGCGGCTTGCACGCAATCTCCTTCTTGCTCAACTTCCTCATGACATACATGACTACATACTCGAAGGCATATGCAAGGCTCTCGATGGAAGCCATGTTTTGGCTGTGATGCGGAAAGGAGCAGGAAAGACCAGGTACTTTTATGGGTACATGTTGCTGCTCAAAGCCCTCCAGAAGATGTCTCCACCTTGTTCCCTTCTGAAGAAGAGTTATCCAGAAAATCCTGCCATGGTGATTGTGTTTCCAACAAAAGGGTTGTAAGAAGAAATGGTGCGTCATGATTCCTTTCTTCAGTACCTACCTAAACTACAATAACAGGAAAAGAAGTTCCGGGATCTTGGGATTGCAGCCCACGCAATCAACAAAGACACCTTTGCTGAGGCTTGTCAATCCAAGCAAAACCTCTGGCAAGAATGCATTGACCAGGTCTCAATGATCCTCCTTTCACCTGAGCAACTCTCTTCCCAATCCTTGGACAGGCTATGGTGCGCGACCCCTTAGTTGCCGCTACTTTTGGACAGCTGCCAAATTGGCGGCGGATTTTTTTTTATTTGGCAACGGCAACTTTGCCACTATCATAAAATAGCAGTTTTATCCCTGATTAGCACCTGTTTTTACATGTACTTTACAGGAATTGATAGAGGGTTGACAAGCACATCTTTTTACAACCAATGTGCCGGCCACAAAAATAGTGCCAACTCTCTGCAGCTCACGCGCGTGCATGCAAAGCAGCTTAATATGGTCAATCAAATTCCGAGATTCCTGAAATCCAAGTCATCAAGTGCTTTGATTTGACAAGCAATGACTCACACAATGTTGAGTTTATGTGATGGAAAGGCAGCGTCAACCACAATATGTTGGATACAGATGGGAGTGATTTTGAGTGGGACACGGACAGTGAATCAGAAGAAGAGTCTGGTAATGAGGGAGGGCCGCAAAGCGACAATTCCGACTTTGGAGAAGAAATGGAAGGCAAAGAGCTCACACAAAGCCTTGCTCAAAGCTTGCAGCATGAAATGGACCTGTTGAAAGAGGTGAATTCTTACGGAAAACTGATGGAACCTTGCACCACGGGTGACTGGAAGAAGGCTGAGTCAAATTGTGGGTTTGGGTATACTGGAAATTCCAAACAAAGCCAGGACCGAGCAAGGAAGAAGGCTCGTGATAGGCCAACTCGGATGAGAAACTACGGAAGACATGAGTAGAGGCTGGGTTTACTGGTCAAGAAGAGAGTTACTCACTTAATGGTACAGAGCTGGGGCTGCAATGATGCGTGCTTTCATGCAACCACGGAAAGCTTCAGAAAACACCTCTGCCAGGTGTATTCAACCATCCATTCCATCTCTGGCACCTCCCAGCACTCCAACTTTGTCTCCTGCAACGGAAATTTTCACTGGCTATGCTTCTAATGTGTCCAAGGATGTTCCAATGCCTGAGGATGAGCCAGATGTCACGGAAGATGAAGGAAGAGGAGAGATGCGCACCTCAAATGCCGTCAACAATGGCATCAATGACGCCATCAATAATCTCAGATCTCCACAGCAGCACCATATCCGCCCACCGCCACCACTCAAACATTGTTGCCTTGATGTTCCTGCCTGAGTTGCATGCCAGAAGGCCAAAGAGGAGCGCTGGAAGGTCCTTGAGGTGGCACTACAAGATATTGAGCACATCATTGGTTCAAAACAGACAAAATTTGTTGTGGGAAGGGAAGGTCTGCAAGCTCAGCAAGCACGCGCTATAGAGTATTATCTGTACATGGTTGTCAAGAATCAACAAAAGGGTATTGATGTGTCAGAACGTGCAGCTGAGGTCATGAAACTCTCACCAAGCTGGGGTGGTCGGTTGGTCAGACGATGGGTTTGCCAATGGATCGCGTTACAGACACTTCCTGAATCCAAGAGGACATGCCAAAATGTTCTTGCTCCTTGAAGAACCTGCAATCAGGACAGAATTACGGTCATACATACAATCAAACAAATGGGTTATCAATCCTGCAAAACTTGTTGATTTCAGTCAAAAGAAGATGATTCCGGCAGTGGCAGATAAATACCTGCGCAAGCTTGTTGAGGGTGAGATGCCTCAAGGTCTGAAGCAGTAGATGGAAGTTGAACTTTTCCCTTAAGTCCAGCTGAAAGTTGAGAAAGGTGTTAGCCTGAAAACGGCACGGCAATTCCTTAGGAATGAAGGCTGTTGTTATATCAAACACAAGAAAGGCCTCAATTTTTGATGGCCATGAGCGTCCAGATGTTGTTGATTACTGGCAAAATCATTTCCTTCCCAAGATGGCTGAACTGCAACGCCGTCTGGTGGAGTATCAAGTGGGGAGTGTTGGGGAAGAAGTTGAGAAGATACCTGATAATTTTGTTGGGGAGCGCCTTGTTCTTGTACCGCAAGATGAGATGACATCTCAAGCAAATGATGGGAAGAAGAAGGGATGGGTCTTTGAGGACAAACAGCCATTGAAGAAGAAGGGTGCTGGATGTGGACTCCATCAATCAGACATGGTATGTTCAACATTTGGGTGGATTGAAGATGCAAGTCAGACTTTGGAGTATGGGAAAAATTACAAGGGATATTGGACTGGAGAATTATTTGTCAAACAGGTATTTTCTTGCCTCTGTCTTTATGTGATTCACTCAATTGTTTTCCCATAGCTTGTCAAAAAAATCATCCCAGCCTTTGAACAGCTCCCATGGACCTGGGTATCAAGCTCTAATTATGGTCAATAACTCCCAAGGTCATTCAGCATATGCAAAAGATGCATTGCTTGTCTCCCGGATGAACCTCAGGCCTGGGGGTAAGCAAGCATGCATGCGGGCAGGATGGTTCATCTGTGACGGCAAGAAAATTACCCAGTCTATGATTTTTCCACTGGATCATCCCAATTTTCCTGATCAAGCAAAAAGAAATCAAGCAAGTCCTGACTGAGCGCAATTTATGGGATGACAAGCTAACCATGCAGTGAAAAAAATGTCCCAATGACTCTGAGACATGCTGTGCAAAACAAATACTCAACCAACAACCAGATTTTATGGAACAAGCCTCTTTGGTCCAAGAAGTAATTAAGGAGGCAGGCCACCTCTGCATTGTGCTCCCCAAGTTTTATTGTGAGTTAAATCCCATTAATTTTTTTTGGGGAGCCACAAAATGTTACCTTTGCAAGAATTGTGATTACACCTTTGCAACTCTTCAAGAAATATGCCAAAAGCGCTGAAATCTGTTGATGTTTGCACTATCTGGAAGTGGGAACACCAGATGTTCAGATGGATGGATGCTTATCAGTACAATCTTTCAGCAAAGGATGCTCAATTGAAGGTCAAATTATTCAGCTCACGCCAGTATACCTCCCATTGTTGTGTTCTGGAGTCTCTTGCACGGGTGTTCATCACTTAGACTTCCCAGTCCAACGGCCCGCCTTGTCAACTTTCCTTTTTTAGATAGACCACCAAATTCATATTATACAAATTGATAACTCCTTCAGTTTTGAAGCAAATGAAAAACCCTTTGGAGGTTTTGTTCATCTACTTAAAGGAACACTTTCACCAGGTATCTAAAAAAAAACTACCCTTTTGGTTGAGCCTTTTCTTTTGTACAAAAGTACTGGTGACTAGGGGTCGTGCACCATAAATCATTGAGACATTTCCATAACTCAAGTTCTTGATGGTTTCCCTTGTTTTTTTTCTGCTGAATGTGATAATTTATGACAATGAAGAATAGTGACAACCTCTCTGCCTCCGTCAAAGGTTCACTCTCTTGCTCATCATGACTCTGGAGAAAGTCATTCAATGTTTAAATGTGAGTTAAGAGTTGGTCAAGAGTTGCTTATCCATTGCAACTGATGATGCCCTGAAATTTCCAAAGTGACCATTATCCGCCTGTTGCGCCTTGCCAACCAGAGTCTCTCAATCTAGAGAGATTGCATCTGGAGCATTACAGCAGTTTTGAACCTCCAGAACAGGCCAGTGCATTGCTGAAACAACAGCCCCTGCAAAGTTGTCACACTACTTACTCCAGCCATAAAAAACCCTTGTATGCAGTATTGTCCAATAACCGTAATGTAAAGACTTGCAGCCAAAGAATAATATATGGGCACATGGTGTAGTTGGTTATCACGCTTGCTTAGCAACTTTTGAATGATTTGCAAGAGGTGTTGGGTTCAATTCCCAATGTGTCCAACCTTTTTGAGTGATGAAGGTACCACATTGGTCATAATGCATAATCATTATCAAACTTTACATTGGCACACCTTAACCTTGCCTCACAACATCATGAACCTCCACCTGTACATGGTCATTTGCTAATGAGCTGGGTCTAGCTGGGCCTCGTGATTAGCGGCCGTTGTCCACCGTATACATATCAATACCTGTGTTTGAGCCAGAATCTTGAATCTCTTTCTCTTCCCACAGCCAATGTCTGTTTTCCTGAATCCAAGCCAACAGTTCTACTTTCACAGTTAAATACTTTTCTGCAATGGCACCCAAGAGAAAAACATATGTGTGCTCACATAATAGCTTGCAGGACCTTTGGCAGGTGTCCAGTGGCGGACGCTGACCATCACAAACATTGATTCTCAGGCAATTGCTTTCAAAATCAAGACAACTACTCCTAAGGTTTGAAGGTCAAAATTGACTATTTTGTGTTAAACTGAGAGAGTCCTTCAAAGTCATATTGTGTACGGCCAGATTCCCATATATTAGAGCTGGGAGAGTCTATCAACCTTCAAGGTACATCAAAGCATCGTGATTTGTGACATATTCACTGGTTTTGACTTATACCACACCCACAACTTTTGGCCATTTTTCTAGTTTGCTTGAACGCAGTTCCATCGCCTGGACCGCCCCCAAGCAAGCCATGTTGAGACAAATTCCTAGTTCAAAGCACACAAGAAACAAATTTGGACTATTTATGCATGACCCCGTAAGATCAATCTTGCAATCTGGATATCTCTTCAATGAAACATTTGAGCAGTGGAATAACCCAACAGAGGATTTTCTGAGCAAAATACACCAGCAAAAGATACTGGTAGCCTATTACCCAAGTATGGAAACTGACAATGGTGTGTTCCGCTCTCCCACAGATGGGACAATGAACATGCATGCCTTGATGAATGATCTCGTAAGTGGACCAGTGATATTTTGTCCTCTGTTCCTTGGGTTACCCTCTTTGCTTCCTTCTTGCCAAGATTGTTGGGGGGTCACAACCTGAAGGCACACCTACAATAGATGATAGCCAAGAAAGGAAATCTGCAAGTCAACCATCTGAGCCTGGCCACCAGCAGGATGGCTCAGATGCTAATGCAAGATCAGAGATTCATGTGGTGCATGAGATTGAGAAAGAAAGTATTGTGGACTCGGCAGCCAGCATTCATCCTCCCATCATGCATCCACCAATGACAACCATTAGCAATAAACCATTGTACACAGCAAAGGATTCCGGCTTGGATTGTTGCAATTCTTGTTTTGGCGATGTACATTTTCTTATGAATGTTGGGTGAACCTAGTGGGGACGCGCATTCACAGTTCCATTGATGGCCAATGACTAAGTGCACAGCCACTCTCAATTGCGCTGCCACACACAAAAATAGAAGATCTACAAAACACACGGCTTAAGCCTTGAAACATACACATTTGAATAGTAGCTACAACAAATCTTGAAGGAGGTTACTTTTGTGGTTCCTCTACAAAATGGTACACATGAAAAGGCGGCAAAAGTCGTGCTGAGGTGTGCTGTCACATGTGTGACAGGTCGCGGCAGAGCAATGTGTTGCCCGCAAAAAGTGCGACAAAAGCCTGTAGAAATTTCTAGACACATTAAAAAAGGTGCCAGAGACACTGGTAAGCATACACTAAATGTAATTGACAAGAACTTACCACAATTTTGTCCTTGAAATTGCAGATCAACATCTTCCTTGCCATTATGGGGAGAAGACCAAAACCGCAGACCAAATGCTCTGCACACCGATGAGAAAACCTGGTTAAGGCATGGAGAATCAAAGCAGAGAAGGAGAACATTCAAGAAAATGCACCTACCCATCGACAGCCATCCAAAATCAGGCAGGGCACATCCCTTCCTCCAAAGCCACTTGTTGATTACAATTTTACTTCATATGTCTAACATATCCTATGTCTAATTTGAGACTATGTCAAAAAGAGGCTTAATGATTGATGACCATGGTCCTAATGAGTCATTTGGTGCCAAAATCTGCTCTAATTGGATGGATGTGCATCCAAAATATGGGACGGCATTTATCCACAGGACTTTGGCAAGAGAGCTTTACAAATAGACATGCACAAGCAACCTTGGTCGCATCAGGGTTTGCGCGTCCCCAAACCTAGATCTTGGATTGCCTGGCTGGTCAGAAATCCAGCTGTACAGCTTGTAGATATACCATCATCAAAGTTATCACTATTGTAGTATTCAGTTGCAGTCAGTTACTTCAATCATTTATCATATTTAGATACCCACTATCAGATCCTGCCTCAATTCTCTGCCTGAAGCCAGCAACAAGTGGGTGTTGGCCGCGGCCGCAGCTGTGTCAGAGAAACAAAAGGCTTGATTTATGCCAAGAATGTACCCGAGTCTGGAAAGAGATGCTGTCTCCCTGGAATTGTGAAAGGGAGTAGGCAGCGCTGCTGTTGTGCAAAACTAGTATTGGCCCACCCACAAAAGTTACGTCCAAACAAGGTCCTCTCCTCCCAGTTGAGAAAGATCATACTCTCATGATGGCGGATGCAGCCATTCTGAGCAAGGAATGGCAGTTCCACCAGGTAGGTGTGTGGTTGAAGGTGAGTGCAAAAAACATCAATCCCAAAATCTTTTTCCGGGAATGCTATGTAGCATAAACAAATTTGCTGGTTGCCTCACAAAGCGCAACTGACTGGTCAGAACTTAGGAGCAAGTAGAGAGTGACCATGAAGAGACAACAAAAGACACAGGTAAAAATACATCTCTTTTGTCGGGCCACCCTTGCCAAATGTTGGCTGCATAATTTGAACTGCCAACTTGAGGCTTGCAGCCATTGCACTGAATATGGCTTCACCAATCATCTACTAGCCCAAGTACGTGGCTCCTTGATCCTGTCAAGGTATTGCCTAGATTAACTCAATACCGTATTTCTCTCATTTGCTGATGTTCCAACTTGAGGCTTGTTCTCAAGAATGGAGACAAATAACTCAAATTCTTTGGGCCCTGATATCACTACAGAACAGCCCTAGAAACCAGTAGTTTATATAGGATCTCAAGAACTAGCAAAGGTACCTGAAGAATCTTCAAGTAACTGGATTAACCTACTAGACTATCAGATTTCCAACCTACTACCATTTAACAAGAGCCAATCCATGGTTGTCCATTCCCTTGTTAGTTCTTTGGGACTCATGAGTGCCTCTTTCTCAGCAACTCAATGTCTGCATGTTATTACCCCACAGAAAGCCAGCTATAAAGACTTGGCAATGTATCATACTTGCAATTACCTCAATGCCGTGCTCCAACCAGAGAATGCAAATTTCAAAGACCAAGAAGCTTCCGCTGACCTTGCAGACTTTGGATTGGAAGATGTAAGAAGATCTTCACCCAAAGTGTATTTTGAGCAACTGACACACATTTTCTCTTGGATTGCCCACCTTTCTTGGGGCTTGCTGACTATGTCCAAATGATTGGAGGTGCAACCATCACAGCTGCTGGTGTGCTTCAACGTGACCTAGCCGACATCTCTATATGTTGGGATGGTGGCAGGTATCCTACAATACAATGACTTAAAGCAAAGCTTATTGAAGCTCAATGTGATTAGACACCATGCGCGGAAATCACAGGCATCAGGCTTTTGTTATGTTGCAGATTGCATATTGGCCATTTTGGCTTTCAGAGGACCAATACCTCATCAACCTTCAGGCCCTAACACAATGTCTGGGGCTAAAAGACCACGGGTCATGTACCTTGACCTGGATTTGCACTATTTGGACGCAGTTTCAGACACATTCTTCACCACAACACCATCTGCGACACCTCAGATACTTGTAGGCTTTGAGTTACAGACATGATACTCATCTCATATCTCACCCTAAGACATTGAGCATCCACCACATGTCTCCTGGATTCTGCCCTACATCTGCACAAGCCCAATTGCTGGACATATCAAGTCCCCACTTCAATCCGTTCAGTCTGTCAATGCCCCTACAACATGGTGCATCAAATGCAACTTATGTGGAGAATTTGGCCAATTGTTGAGCATATCAAAGATGCTTTCTCTCTGGACTACATCATCATTCAATGTGGTGTTGATGCTTTGGCAGGCGATTGGTTGCTTGGCTGGTGTGTTCACTGTATTCTGACAGAATGGTCTGGCAAGAAATTACTTCTTGGTGGCGGTGGGAAACTTCTTCTTATATGCCCACATGTTTCTCATGTGGATTGGGAGGACACAATTCACCAAATGCTGCTCAAGCTTGGGCATACCTGACTTCCATTGCAGTAACAGGCATAACACCATCTGCTCTGAACAGCTCTAACTTTGTATATAGCTTGACAAACCAATCAGCCTGGACGCTGAAATACCAGACCATGTGGGGTTCCCTTTGTATGGACCCTCTTTCACGGTGAGCATTTTCATTCTTTTCTTGCGTGCGGCACATAGTTTTATTGTTGATCTGGATCTGAGAGGCACGAAGTGACTGTGAAATGAATGAACTCAGTATCAATGATAAGACAAACTGAATGGTATTGTAGTACCTGTGAAATGAATGAACTACAGGTACTAGTAAGTAAAGAGTGTAGGAGTAGATGTAGGTATAATACTCACCTCAGTATTGACGATAAGACAAACTGAGGAGAGTATGAGGCAAAGTACTCTAGATGTGTGCAACAAAGGATTACGTAATGTGATAAGTAAGCGTGGTCATGCAAGATGAAACCGTTCTAAGTAGTATAGATAAAAGTGAATGTAAATGGGTCATTGAATGTCCATACATACTGTATTTACAACAAGTTTAAATTAAATTTCATCAGTTTGGTGTTCCTGCAGGCAATATGTTTGACCAAAACAACGAGGAATACTTAAACTTAGTGCAAACTTAGTAGAAGGATGCTTTGATGACGTGATTTTGGCATTACAAAACAGACTCGGTACATAATCTCAGCCATATATAATATGTCTTTGTGCTCTACTTAGGAAGCTGTGAAT